CATAATTTTTGTTTTATTTGATAAAAATTTTAAGTGTTTCAGTCTAAAAGAAATCGTTAGTTAAACAGACAAGTACCTACTTGATTAATTTTGCTGAGATTTTACAAAATTTTGACAAGAACACTACTAACTAAGCTTTTTCTTGGTGATTTCAATACAAAAACAAGCGACGAACTCACTTTTTTCATAATTTTTCCGACTTGCTTAAAATTTTTTAGTTGTTTAATTACGACAGAAGAAGAAATTCTTGTTTGTACAGACAGATTTCTATTTCAAGTGTTTGTGGATTAAAAATTGCTCAAATCTTTACGTAAGTTTTGCTAAAATAAAAATAAAAAATTCTACGCTACAGAGTGACTCAAATATTACAAATTCTGACAATACGTCTCCATATTTAGTAATAATTTTACAAAATTTTTAACAAAAAATAAAATAATAAAGTTTTGTGTGGTTTTTTCTTTTATCAAATAAATTTGTTACAAGAGGGGCAAAAAAATTTTAATTAAAAGAATTATACAAAAAAAAAACACTCAAAATTGGTAATTTAATGAAAAAAATTACTGCTTGTACTTGATGTTTCTGACATTTGTGGTGCTTCCTTGTGCATAAATTTTATTTTTTGTGAAATTTTTAATGACTTGTAGTACCATCACTTTTACAAGGTTACAAGCATTTTAACTTTTTTTATTTATAAGATTTAAATGTCACAAATAATATATTTGATCCAATCGCAGGTCAAGCGACTAAATTAAGAGAAATTCGTCAGTAAACAACTTAAAAACAACTTTCTTAGTTAATATTTGCCTTGTAAACCCATCACTTTTACTTAAAATTTTTAAATAAACAATCATAATTAAAAAAATGCACGTCTAATTAAGTGCATCAAAGCAGGCAAAGTTCAATGCCATTTTACGAGAGAAAATCTCTTGAAAGTCGATTGTAATGCAAATCTTAGATGCAATTATCGCAAAAACACGCAACCGGAAGTGGAAGGAAGCATTTGTTTGATTTATTTTCAAAAAACATAAAAATTTTTAGTTGGGTCAGTTTGTGGGTGTTGTGAATGTCATCTAATAACACGTCGTAATTCTTTGTGTCGGAGCCGCTCCGGTAAACGCGACCAGGAAGTAGGCTGAGACAATGCACAGCCGTCTTTTTACCCAGTTATGGTAAAAAAACGGCTGTAAAAAAATATGAAAAAGTGAGTGTGTCGCTTGTTTTTGTATTGAAATCACTGATAAAAAGGTTACTTGGTAGTGTTCTTGTCAAAATTTTGTAAAATTTCAGTAAAATAATTAAGTAGATACTTGTGTGTTTAACTAGCGATTTCTTTTCGACTAAAACACTTGAAATTTTTATCAAATAAAACAAAAATTATGAAAAAGTGAGTTCGTCGCTTGTTTTCGTATTGAAATCACCAAAGAAAAAGCTTAATTAGTAGTGTTTTTGTCAAAATTTTGCAAAATTTTAGCAAAATTAATCAAGTCTGTTTAACTGACGATTTCTTTACGACTGAAACACTTGAAATTTTTATCAAATAAAACATAAAAATTATGAAAAAGTGAGTTTGTCGCTTGTTTTTGTATTGAAATCACCAAGAAAAACTTAATTAGTAGTGTTTTTGTCAAAATTTTGTAACATTTCAACAAAATTAATTAAGTAGGTACTTGTTTGTTTAACTAGCGATTTCTTTTCGACTGAAACACTTGAAATTCTTATCAAATAAAACAAAAATTATGAAAAAGTAAGTTCGTCGCATTTTTGTATTAAAATCAACAAGAAAAAGCTTACTTAGTAGTGTTTTTGTCAAAATTTTGTAAAATTTTAGCAAAATTAATCAAGTAGGTACCTGTCTGTTTAACTAACGATTTATTTCCAACTGAAATACTTAAAAATTTTAACAAATAAAACAAAAATTATAAAAAAGTAAGTTTTCCGCTTGTTTTTGTATTGATATCTCCAGGAAAAAGCTTAATTAGTAGTGTTCTAGTCAAAATTTTAGAAAATATTAGCAAAATTAATCAAGTAGGTACCTGTCTGTTTAACTAACGATTTCTTTACGACTGAAACAGTTAAAATTTTTATCAAATAAAACATAAAAATTATGAAAGAGGGAGTTTGTCGCTTGTTTTTGTATTGAAATCACCAAGAAAACGCTTAATTAGTAGTGTTTTTGTCAAAATTTTGAAAAATTTTTGCAAAATTAATCAAGTTTGTTTAACTAACGATTTCTTTACGACTGAAACAGTTGAAATTTTTATGAAATAAAACATAAAAAATATGAAAAAGTGAGTTTGTCGCTTGTTTTTATATTGAAATCACCAATAAAAAGCTTAATTAGTAGTGTTTTTGTAAAAATTTTGTAAAATTTTAACAAAATTAATCAAGTAGGTACTTGTCTGCTTAACTAGCAATTTCTTTTCGACCGAAACACTTGAAATTTTTAACAAATAGAACAAAAATTATGAAAAAGTGAGTTCGTCGCTTGTTTTAGTATTGAAATCTCCAAGAAAAAGCTTAATTGGTAGTGTTTTTGTCAAAATTTTGTAAAATTTCAGCAAAATTAATCAAGTCTGTTTAACTAACGACTGAAACACTTGAAATTTTTATCAAATAAAACATAAAAATTATGAAAAAGTGAGGTTGTCGCTTGTTTTTGTATTGAAAAGTTATGGTAAAAAAACAGGGACGAAATCGGGGGATTCACAAAAAATGGGTTCGTCGCTTATTCAGAAATTTTCGTTGAAATCACCACAAAAAAGCTTAAATAGTAGTTTTGTAATTTTTTTTATTTTTGTATCTTTTTTTTCAATTTTCCAGATAATGCCATCCCAAGATGCCACTCGCGACTCTACTCCTTAGAGAAGAAACCGCGTCGTCTCTCTCCACCTTGGTCGAAAAATCGCAACACCGCAAGCCGCCCCTCCCTTCGTACGACCTCCACCTCACCCCCACCCACCTGGACCTCACCCCCCTCCCCCCAGAAACCCCCGACGAGGGCTTCGAATCGGACATCGACAGCCTCTCCATCGTCTCCAGCGATGGAAGCGAAACGAAAACGACCGAAACCGACAGCGCAAACGGCTCGGCAAGCTCCGACAGCGACACGGAAACCCCCGAACTGACCCGATCCCGTACCGAATCCCACAATCTAGTCGACTGTGTTTGCTACACCGATGTGAAATTCCCCGACGTTCTAATTTTCGTCATCAAAAACTCAACACTTGTCTTCAAATTCGACAATTTAGTCACGTTGAAAAACTTCTATTTGAATTTTACCGCCGTTAAAGCCGTAACCAATCAGAAGGCTTACAACAAAAACGGCGCCAAATTCAATTTATTGCAACGAACTGACAACAATGGCGTCACACATATTGAAATAACACGCGAACCTGAACTCTCGAAAATACTAAACACACCAACAACGCCATCTAGTATCATTAGTTTGAACACACCGGAAGTCCTAGTCACCCCCCCACTCCGGAAAGTGTGGTCATCTGCTGATGACCTTCTCTCCCCGAAACGCCCAGAAAGGCGTAAAAAAGTCAAAGGTCGGGCACCGCCCCCTCCCCCCACTCCTGATATCCTCCGCGGGGAGTACGTCCGAGTCAATGTCAACACCACCAAAGACAAGGATTTTATCGCCAAAAGTCAACTCAAAGAAAAGAAACCGGTTAAACCGAACCTTGTAGCACTTTTCAAACCGGTTAAAACCGAACCGGTTTGGAGCAATTCCTTGAAGAAGCAAAGGAGTAAGAGCGAAACGAGGTGTTTCACTCCCATGGCCTATAGATATATTGATACGGCCCCCACTTACTCCCCCATGGGGAATAGGCTTTTTGGGTTGTCGTCCAAATTGAGGGATTTTGGAGAGGTGAGAGAGTGTCGGTGGAATAGTGTCGCAGAATTGAATTATAAAGAAGGGAATTTGAAGAGTGTGATCAAGAAAGAAGAAAGTAAAAAGAAGAATGAGAAGAAAGTTACTTTTAGTGCCTACACGACGGTGCAGGTTGTCTGAAAGGAGGAATTTTGTACTGATTTATTACTGTTCTTGTATATTTCTAGCTTAGTTTGTGTAAATTCTACTTAAAAGTAAATAAATATGTATATAATCTAGTTGGCGTGTTTTTCTAAATTAAAACAAAGAAACAAATAATTAAGAAAAATTAAGAAATTTAGAAAAAATAAAAAAAAATAAAATTTTCTGGTGATTTCAACGCTAATTTGTCAACAAGCGACGAACCCATTTTTTATCAATTTTTTACTGGAAAATTATTTAATGTAAAAAAAGATAATTAAACACAAGTAGAAAGCATTTTTTATTATCTTTTTAACAAAAAAAACTCATTATTCTGTAATGCCTTGTTTTCGAGAAAATCACAAAAATTGATATTTCAGAAACTAGTTGAAATTTTGTAGTTCTCTTGACATCCATCAACTTCCAAGAACATTCTACATAGAAATAATCTCAAAAAATTAAAAATTTGATTTGGAATTTTGCCTAGAAAAGCGGTTAAAGCAAAATTTTCCGATTTTTTCCAGTAATTTCAATCACAATTTTAGAATAAGCGAAGAACTTATTTTTAACAATTTTTTACTCCAAAAGAATTTAATGTAAAAAAAATTAATTAAACACAAGTAGAAAGCCTCTTTGATTATCTTTATAACAAAAAAACTCATCATTTTGTAATGCTTAGTCACTGAGAAAATCACAAAAAATGATATTTCAGATAACTTCCAAACTAGTTAAAATTTTGTAGTTTTTTTGACATCAATTAACTTCTAAGAACATTCTACAAAGAAATAATCTTAAAAAATTAAAAATTTTATTCGAAATTTTGCCTAGAGAAGCGGTTAAAGCAAAATTTTACAATTATTTTAGTGATTACAATCACAATTTTAGAATAAGCGACGAACTCATTTTTTAACAATTTATTACTCCAAAATGATTTAATGTAAAAAAATTAATTAAACACAAGTAGAAATCCTCTTTGATTATCTTTCCAACAAAAAAAAAACTCATCATTTTGTAATGATTAATCACCAAGAAAATTACAAAAATTGATATTTCACATGTGTGCCAATAACTTCTAAACTAGTTAAAATTTTGTAGTTTTTTTGACATCAATTAACTTCTAAGAACATTCTACATAGAAATAATCTTCTAAAATTACAAATCATATTTGAAATTTTG